TCTCTCTCTCTCTCTCTCTCTCTCTCTCTCTCTCTCTCTCTCTCTCTCTCTTTCTCTGATCGCTTTTGTTGCTTTCATTATATTTTTCTTTTCCTCTTTCTTTCTCTCTTCTTTTTTTTATGTAGGAAATACACTACGATTAAAGTATATCACAGATGTTAATGAGAAAAATGTTCTAGAACGCGAGAAAGAAATGAAGAGAAGGAAACGAAGAGAATATTTCGTTAGTCGCCGCAGGATTATCCGGAAGTACACGGCAGCTGGTATCTGCATAGCTTTCTACGTTGAAGTAATACCAATTGACATAGAAATTACATAAATTGTACGAGTTTCAATTTGTATTAAAGATTATCACAACATCTTAAATTTCTAATCGTATTTTATCTCAAACTCCGAGCTAATCGTCGAGTGTTTTTTTTTCTTTTTTCTTTTTTTTTTATATAGAGTTAGCTTGAAAGAGGTGACAAAAATACCATTATAATCGATTAAGCTATAAATTGGCTGTTCATTATTTTAGCCAATCATAACAATATTTCGACCTTATCCTTCTCCTTTAACCACACACTATATTGGTTCTGAGAATATTTTATTATGAAGCTCTTAATTAGTAATTAATACACAATTTTCCTTTTCTTTTTTTTGTAATTTTTCTTTATTTCCGCAGCTAAAATCTCTGTCTCACGATTACGAAAAAACTATACTACTTTTTATTTTTGTTTCTTCTTTTATATTTCGAAACTGTTTTTTTTTTTTTTATCTAGATTTTCTGGCACTTCGGTAATGACCATTTTTTTTATTATTATTTTTTTTTTTTCTTTATTATTTTTCGCATTTTTTTAGTTTGGCACGTTTCGTTTCTGTCGTCGAGAGCTACCCACGATCTACCGTGGCTCTCGAAATTCTCCTGCGAACGACACACGTTTATTTTTATTTGACGAGTTGGAGAAAAAGGAAAGGCGAGAAAGTGTGGTCCGATTAATTGCAATTGTCGCGTAGACTCGACAAATTTGTTTTTTCTCTTTTTTTTTCTTTTTTCATTTTTTTTTGTTTTTTTGTTCTCAAGTTCACCTATCGACTACGTAAATTTCTCTAATTATCGACGCAGAAACTACGTCATTCTTCATCCTACCAATTCCTACGAATCGATTTTCACGATGTATTTTTTTCACGGAACATAAGATTGGTTCCGTTGGCAATAGTAGATTGTCATAAGTTTTTCATTTCTTTTTTTTTCTTTTTTTTTTCTTTTTTTTCTTTTTAAATGCTTTTCGCTTTTTGTTTTACGCACGTTAAATTTCACGCTTGACGCGTACGCGCAATCTTTCATTCACTTTTTTTCTCTTTTTTTCTTTTCATTCCGCATGATGCAAGATGCACAACTGACTTAATCTTATTCGTCCGTGATTGAATATTCAATCGTACTTTTTAATTATTATTATTACTCTCCACTTTCATCTCACTCGTTCTCCCTTCTCTCTTCCTCTATTCCTCTAATTTCTAGCATTTCCAACTCGGTCTAAACGATTCCTTTCCTATTTTGGCAAGTTCACGGCGGCAAAGTAACTAGAATATAACGACTATATTGTCATGCACTACAGTCTTTCTTAGAGCCCAACATTGAACCCTCGCAGTACTCTTCATGGTATTTCGCCGTGGATACCATGGTAGGCTAGCAATTGCATAGAAATCTATACCATTTTTCTCAGTAAAACCGATTATTTTTTTTCATTTTTTTTTGTTTTTGTTTTTTTTTTTTTTGTTTACTTTTTTCTAAACGTATCGAAGATAAAAGTTGTTACTTAAGAAGGATCCGATGGTCCACCAGAAGACGCTCTATCGAATCTCTCCGATCTTTCTTCCTCTATCATCACATCTGGTATTGCAGTTACCGATGAAATGGTTGTCGAAGCTTCCGGTGTTCCTTCGCTCGATTTTTTTCTTTGATTGTTACTACTCGCCGAATCGTCCACGTATATACGAACATTCGAGCCAATACTGGCGCACACTCCTATTATATGCATCACAGCGCTTCCATTCCTGCTACCGTTTCCATTCGCGCTACCGTTCACACTTCCACTTCCAGTCACACTTCCACTTCCACTTGTGCTGCTGCTCCCTATGATGCTATCGCTCATGTTGCTACTCGACATAGGTGATACTTCTTCGGAACGTTCCTCGGTCACACAGACCTGGCCGTAACTTTCTACTCGAGTCGACGAGGAATATTGATCACCGACAATCCTCATTGCTCCTGTCGAATTTCCGCTCTTCAGTTTGGACGGTCTTCTTTCGTTAATGATTGATTGCACGTCAAGATCGTCCGTCGGTGGAGCAGATACTCGTCTCTCATTTTTCTCCTTCGATTTGCTGCCATTGCTTCTCGACACGCCGGTTTCCATATAGCCGTTCATCGTGCTGCCCATTTTTGAGACGATGCTTCCGATGCTGACGTTTGTATCAGATTGTGACTGCGTGTCGCTCGATGGCCTGCGACTTAATGTTGCCTTGGACGGGTAGATATTGGGCGTTGGCATTAGATAACGTTCGCTGCTTATTTTAGGACAAGTTAGAGTTGTTACAGAGCCGACCGGCGATACCGGGGAAGAACTTGCTGGCGGTTTGTTTACGCTCAACAGAGTCTTGTTTTCTTGTCCATCGCTGGTTGCCTATAGGGTCAGATTAGCTTTTTTAATATTGTTCTGTTTATCCATGAGAAAATGCTAATAGAAAATTATGAATATTATTGCTCCATTATTATTGATATCTCTATCTACTTTGCATTATATGTATTTTCGTAATTGGACGAAAAAGTCACATCTATAATCGAATTATTTGACGAAAAAAATAAATAAACATATGGGATAACTGAAACAAAATGATACATGATGATGTATCAAAATATTGACATATTTTATAAATAAATTAATTATTTAAGTGAATTAATTATGAAATGTATTTTTATAGTTTACAAAAATTTTATTATTATTAACGCATTAAGATTAACAGCTCAGATGGAATAAAAATTCAAGTCATTTTTTCTCGGCTATCTTCTTCTGAACAAATAGCATATGTTATAGCATATACTAATATATATCAAATATACTAGTATAGTATATATATAAAATATGTATATCAAATAATTATGAAAGTTTTGTCATTTTTAGAAAAGAAAAATGCAAGAAATGTAAAAAATAAATTTGTATTCATTTAACTTATTATTATATTTGTCATTATATTTTTTTTTGTTTATTATTATATTTAAAAGGGGGAAATTATGAATATTGAATTTATAAAAATCATGATTTTAGAAAATGAAAAACTCTTCTTTGATACTTTTTACTTTTATTTGTAGAAATGGTTACCTAAGTTTAATAAAAGTTATATATATTTATATATAATAATTTAAAAGGAGAATTTTAGAAAAATTAAATAAAAAATTTTCATTTATAAATCTATATATTTTCTCTATTATAATTAAATAATATAAATGATTTTAGCAATAAGTATAATTTATATATCCAATTTTAAGTTTCAATAATCATTTCTATCTATTTTTAAAATAAAATTATATAAATTTCATAATAATTCATAACAAATAATTTCATAAATGATTTTATATTTTATTATATATTTTTCTATTTTAAAAAGAAAAATAAAATCTTTTTAATTACTAGCACTTTCAATTACACATTAAAAATTCAAATTCACATTAAAAAGTTTTCAGATGTTACATTTAATTTAAATAAAATTTTTAAATTAATCTTAATATATAATATTTCAATGATACTTTGTATATTTATATAATATATATATTTATACAGAATAAAACAAGTAAGAATTCTAGAAATTAAAGTATATAATTAAAATATATTAAAATAATGCTAATTCAAATGTTAATATGAAAAATTTACTTTTCAAATATTATAAACAATTTAATTTCATATTAAATGAAGAAAAATATAAAATATAGATATAAAATAAAGATTTTTGTTTCATATATATCTAAATACAAGTATATATTAATTATAAAATTTTGATTTATATAATTTTTATTAAACACACGATTAAGATAACATATTGATATTTTATTTTTTATTAATTATTATTAATATAACTTAAATATATATAATTTGTAAAAATTGTAAAAATAATTATATAAATATTATTACAAGCATTGAATTATCTATAAATAATTTTTACATGGAAAGCGAAGAAAAACACGTTCATTTTACTCTGAGTTTCGAAAATGACTCTATTAAATCTTAATAATAATCAATTATTTTGTACTGCAATTCACGTTGGCTATTGTTTCATACAATGATTATTAACATTTATAATATATACCATAGATATTAATAATTCCGTTTCTATTGCAAAATTAAAATGCTTGTAACTTAAAAAATAACAATTCAACAATTTTATATATTATAATTTTGTCCAAAATTTCTTAAATGTTTTTCGTTTGAATACTCTTTATATATTTTTTGCACATTTAAATTTTTCAAACATCCATATTGATTATTGATAATAAAAATTTTTTTCATTAAGCAATAATAAAATTAATAAATTTATTAAAAACTAGATATGTGTTGCAATTTATTTTTAATTTTAATTAAGTTTTAAAAAAAATAATTTTACCTGTAATCTTTGACGCTGCACGTGAGTGACATCTCGACTTGTATCGTAGCTGTGTTGAGGAATGATTCGAGGCACACTTAAATTGTTCACAGGCTTCTCGAAAACTTCGGCGACTTCAAAATGCATCGGCAGTAAAGATCTTCTCTGATGATGCTCCGAGTGAAACGTTTGTCTACGTTTCGATTTGAACTTGGACGGCCTTGAACAAGAACGATGATACGAACTGCGTCGCGATAATGAGACTGATATTGTTCTATCTGTAAAATATATATAATAGTGTTTAAATATTTATTAAAAAGAGTCATTAATAATTATAAATATTTCGAATATAATAACTCGTAACTTATTCGTTATATGAAAAATTTGATGTAGAAGAGAATGTAATTTGTTATTAATTTTTTTGTAAAAAAACATAAAAGATATGAAGAATATGAAGATTATTTTTATTTTTTTAATTGAAAAATTATATATTTTTTAATATAATAATATTAAAATATAAAATTATAAATCAAATTAATTATTGATATTAATTTAAAAAAGATATATAAATTTGCAAATTCTTAAATAAAATTAATTATTATGTTTTAATTAGATATTATTTAATTAGATATCTATTTTATTTTTAAATATTGTTTAATATAAATTATAATTTAATCTAAATTAATATTTAATAATATTGGAAAATAATATTCAAATAATAATAATTTAATATGTAAAGCGTTTGTAATTTAATATGTAATATCAAATAATTTATAATGTAAAATAATTTTATAAAGTTACACAAAATGTGAATAATTGTATTAAAAGCTTATAATTGATTTACATATTATAATTGATTTAAATTTAAAAATCATAAATAAATAAGATAAATTATTATCAGACATTTTTTAATTTTAAAAGTATTATGTACAATTATATTATTAAATGATATCTAATATTATTTAAATAATATTAAAAAATAATATTAAAAAGTAACATTATAATAATATTTCAAAGTTTGATTATATATTTAATTTCAAACTTGTTGACACAAATTTAAGAATCATATACTAATAAAATATATTATTATGACATTTCACTATATTTTATTTATAAATATTGTTTATTTATTGCTATATAATTTTTTCTTAGTAATTTATCTTACTCAGATTTTTTATTATTAATATTAAATCGTTGAATATGTAAATGTAAACGTACCGTCTGCGTTTTTCTCCTGTGGTGGATTGTAAATAAAATTTGCAGGCAAGGAACGAACTTTCGCAAGACCAGGTCTGCTAGCAGGAATCTTTTCGTTCGTCACTAAAATAGACTCACGTTCTCTAACGTCGTCATCTTCCATGCCATCGTCTCTTTCTCGTTTTATAGTTTCATCATCTTCTTCCTCTTCTTCTACTTCTAATAATTCTTCTTGCTCTGCGGCTAATTCTCTTTCTAGCTGTGTTTCCATATCCAGTTCGTCTTCCATCTGATAAATAAAATTTAAAATCAGTATTTTATAAATTTTTTTATATTTTAATACTCACTACTTTTCACTACGTTTCATTTTTCTAAAATATCATGCATAAAATGTCATTTATTATTTGAAATGAAAAATACGGAAAATATTTACAGTAATAAAATTTATATAATATTATTTTATAAAGAAGTAATATAATATGAGAATAATAATTTATTTGAAATAGATACATATAAAATGATTTAAAGTCAAATTTTTAGTGAAATCTTTTAGTAGAATTCGATAAATTTGCAAATTTTAATATTTAAAAGTATTTATATATAATAAATTATGTTAATTCTAAAATTTTCTGTTTTGAAATATTAAACTTTGAATTTGAATCTTTTTATTTACACATTCAATTAAAATTTTTGTTCGAATAATGACTTTTATGTGAATACTTGTATTAATCTCGAATCATTATTAAATGAATATTATTGATTTAAAAAGTAAATTAAGTATTCTTGCCTGTTTATGACTCTCCTCGAGATGTTTCATGAGTACAGCAACGACGACGTTAACAAGAACGAATTGTGCCATCAGCACGAAAATTACAAAAAATATCGGAGCTATGATGGTGCTCACGCAACAATTCTTCACGCAATCTGCTGCTTCGTCGCAATCGTCTCTCAAAGTATCCTTCATGATACCATTCCAATTGTCGCCGGTGGCCACTCGAAAAAGTGTTAGAAACGCCATACCAAAATTACTAAAGTGAGCATGCTCTCCGAGACCCTGGCAAGGCATATCATCACTGCATTCTGCAATAAAAAATAAGTAAATTAATGATAAAATATTATTAATCAATTATATTATAAATAATTAATGTATTATATAATCATAATCAATTATATCATTGAATGTTCTAATTTTTAATTACAAAAAATGATAATAAGATATATATATTATAATATTCCGTAATAAATTCCGTATAATAAAATATAATAAATATTCAATTATTTATAACTATCTGCCACTTATCTAATAATTTATTTTTATACTTGAATAATGTAATTTTTTATATTAGATTTTTTTTGATAAATAATTATGTAAAGATCTAAAAAAATTATGCAGTTCTTAATTAATGCATTATAATTATCTTTAATTATAACAAAAAATTAATATGTATATTTATTTTTTAAATAAATTAATGAATCATTTCATTATTCAATGTAAATTATTCAATGTACTTAAATTGATTGGAAAATAATTATTTTTCAATATAATAATTTAAATAAATCTCTTTGAATCATTTCTTAATATATTGTACTTTTTTTTAATTATAACTGTAATAATAATATATAGTATATATAATAATAATATATAATTATAACTGTAATGAAGATATATTTCATTTCAGTTACATGGATTATTTTATTTTAATGTTTACCTAAACGTCCAAACAATTCTACACCAAGAGCTGCGAAGATAAAAAACAGCAAAAAAAACAATAGTCCCAAATTTCCAACTTGCGGTAATGCCTGCATTACTGTGTCTAAAAGAGCTCGTATTCCTTTCGCCATTTTGAGCAACTTCAAAACTACAATAATAATTTAAAAAATTATTTGCATTTTGATAAATTATTAATTTTTTTTAAATTTAATATTTTCTTTTCTTTAAACTTACCTCTAGCAATTCGTAAAACTCGCATGACTCGAATTATAGTAGGATTAATCGGAATGATCTTTGACTCAACTTCTTCAAGTACTATACCAACTACCGATAATATCACGATTCCTACATCTAACTGATTCCATCTAGAATTGAATACTCATTATTAATATTTCATTTCATAATATTAAGATGAGAAAAAAGAAGAAAATTTAAAAAACAATTCATACTTGTCTTTAAGATAAAGATGTAACCCTAAGGCAAGAAGCTTCATAAAAGATTCAAGAATGAAAACCGCAGTGAAGAAATAATTGAATATCTTTAGAGCGTAAGTCAGAGCTTTTGGCATCATGTAAAATTCCATTGCCATGGTAACAACATTCAGACCGATTACCGCAGCAATTGCTAAGTCGAAATATTTAGATGTCACAACATTATGTACGAACAGTCTAGATTTTGAATAATTTGTGTAATAAGGCGGTTCGTGCATTTCTGCAAATTGAATTAATATTAATAATTTTATTATTTTTAATAATAATTTTCTTATTTTTAATTATGTTTAATAATAATTTTTAATAATATTTTATAATATTTTTTTTAATTTTAATAATATTTCTTTTTTTTTATTATTTTTTTATTATTTCTTCACATTATTCTTATTTCAATATCTAAAAATCTTATATAATTCAATTTCTGATTTCTGAATAACTGATAAAAAATTTTAAATTTAGAATATAAATTGGTAGCAAACAAAATAAATAACAGCTTAAGTAAATTTAGAAAAAATTATGGAATCAAAACATTTTTTAAGAAGATAGAAAAATGAAAAATTTTTATAAGTAATAAAAAAAAAATAAAAAGAAAAAAAATAAAAAATACAAAGAAATATCCGACTATAAACACAAAAGATTAATCAAAATAAATATTATTCGTTTATTTATTTTATTCTTTTATCTTCTAGTATTTTCTAGTAATTTCTAATAGTTTCTTTCTAGTATTCTATATTTAATGCTAAATATTATATTAAATATTATAATTTATATATTAAATAAATTAATTTTATTTTCTTCTATTTTATAATAAAAGAATTTCCTATGAAAGATATATTAAATAATTTTATATAAAAATTTATTGTTTAAAAAAAAATTATAAGAATATAAATCAATATTTTTATTTTATTTCTATTAAAATTCAGTCAAACAGTTTCTCTTTTTTCTTACTTCGCCGTTTTTTCTCCATTTGTAAGGCTCTTTTAGCAGCCCTTCTTACGCGCTCTTCTTTTTCCTGTTCCTCACGACATCTGTGAAAATTTTCCACTACAACACCTACAAACATGTTTAGGACGAAGAAGCCCACGAGTAGAATAAAAGCTATGAAATATAAAAGCCGCCATTCCGAATAATTCTCGATTGGCTAAAATAGAGAAATAAAAAATATTTCAAATTTTAATATAAAAATGTATTATCATATTAAAAAAATATAATTTTAGATATCTAAATAAATTAAATCTAAAATACAATATTTATACGTACAAATTTTTCAAATAAAAAAAAGGAAAATAGAAAAAATTTAATTTAATTAAAAATTGAATAATTTAATAGGTTTATTTATTAATCAAGTGTATATTTTTTAATTATAGAACATTAAATTTATATGATATTATATGATATTTAACGTAACATTTTCTTTATCTTTTTTTCGCTGAGTTTTATAAAAATAAAAATACTATATTTTTTATTTTAATATTATAATATATTATTTTAATATTATAATATATCTTTAAAAAAAATTGTATAAAATAAAAAATTATATAAAAAAATATATATTTTTATTTTTTAGATTTGTCGTTGTATTAAAAAAGATAAAATAATAATAAAATTATATAAAAAGTGACTATTCTTGTATTATTCAAATATTCTTTAAATAAATATAATTTATATTTATTAAAACAAGCACGTTACCTGTTGATCAACGCCTACAGCATCTAATCCAGTGTACATGATGTTTACCCATCCATCCCTTGAGGAAAGTACAAATAACGACATCAGCGCTTTTCCAAGATCATCGAAATTGTATTTTCTATTTAACCAAATGTTTCGTTTGTCGGCCAGGCAGTCCGTCTTATTGCGTACATTTTTAATATCAGGCCCTTCACAATAATAAAAGGCACCTTTGAAGAGTTGTACGCCCAAGATACCGAAAATTACGAAAAAAGTACAGCATATCAAAACGATGTTGCCGATAGGTCGTAAAGAGGATAACAATGTCTGAACAACTAGTTTCAAACCAGGAGCTCGATTAATAACTCGTAATGGCCTTAATGATCTTAAAAGTCTAAAAACCTGTAAAGATATGAAGTGTTAGAAGTTTTTTTAATGTGTAATGTGTATGCAAAATATAATTATATAATAGTAAATACGTATATTTTAAATCATATATTTATATATAATATTTATTGTCATTCAATATTAATTTTATTTAACATTTATTAAAATAACAATTAATAAATATTAATAAATATAATTATATTAATATTATTCAATATTAATTTTCATTTGAATAAATTTAAAAAAGACTTTTTTTTCGAATAATATATAATTTCGAATAATAATATATTGTTTGTATATATTTTTACAAATATTGTATATATTTATTGTATTAATTTTGAATAATTATATTCAACAAATGATATTATCTTGTTAGATAATCAAACACATGAAATATTAAAAAATTTTAAATATTAAATAAAAAATATAAGTTAATATTTAATTTAGATAAACAATCAATATAAGAAATTAATTATTAAAAATTAAAAAGAAAAATAAAAATTTTCAATTCTATAATATGATATAATTATAAAACTTCACAAATAATAATTTTATTTAAATAATTCAATACAATAATAAATTGTAAAAAATAATATTATTAAAATATATAAATACATTTTATCAAATATATTTATATATTTCATTGATTTGATATTTATATATTTTATATATATTTATAAAAATATTTTTAATAAAAATATATAATTTAAAAATATATATTAAACATATATTAAATATATAATATAAAAACATAATTTAAAAAATATTAATATATATATATAATATATTCAAAATGTATCAAATAATATATATGCAATGATCTTATCATAATAAAACTTTGAAATAAAATTTAATCTCTTGATAAATCTTTTTAAAAAAATATAATTGAAAATATTTCAAAATATATGTAAAAAATTTTATTACAAATTATAGGTTAACAATATTAAATATATT